GGGGGGGGGGGGGGGGGGGGGGGGGGGGGGGGGGGGGGGGGGGGGGGGGGGGGGGGGGGGGGGCACTGACGGTTCCGCGAGTCTGCCTTCTCCGCGAGTACTCTTATGCACATGTTCTTGCATGTCTGAAATCTCGAGGCTGGCTCATTCTGTCCATGCAGCCTCCTGCTTCTCCGTCCTCCCTTGTGTTAGCCACGTGGACTCGAAGGCTTTTATGTTTTCTCAAATTGTATTTCGCAAACACGGTTCGGTCACGCAATAAGAGTAGTAGCCAGCTAAGTTGTTCAATAAAGGGCCTTGAAGCCTTCTGGTGCTCTTAGGGTGTGGGTTCAGATATCTCCGGAGTAAACTCGCAATCTAGAGGTGAATGGCGCACAGCCGTGATTACACACGTTGCCTGTGAGAGGGGAGGGACTGCTGAACCCTTCTCGCGTTAACAATGAAGGCTACCACTCCTCCTGTGTGACCCCCACTGGCCCGTCAAACATATGAAAGGCGTAGACTGCCGTCCAGAATACCATGTACATGGGACGGAGAAACACGATGAAAACGAGCGTCTTTTTTTATTGTCGTACTTGAGCAAGAAAACGTGGTCGATGCTACAGTACACAGCCAAAGGTTAGATGGACACACATGCACACAGCAGTCTGAGATAACAGGCAAAGCGCCAGGTATACAGCCAACGGCGGCACTGGTAGTCAAGTGTTCTTCTCGCCAGCGCTCATTGCGCATGTTCATCCTGCCCGTGTGCCATGCGCTGGCGCCACAAGTGACTGCTGATGCAATGTAATACAATGCAATACGATGCAATGCAATGCAATGCAACTGACTGCTGCAGGCGACTGGGAAAGGCCCGTCAGAGGTTGCTGGAGGCGACGGGCGACTACGCGTTCCCTCCAGGCGAGCAGCTGGATGAGATGACCGGCCTCCGAAAGCAAACCAGGGTCAGGGATCTCCAGTTCAAGGTGAACCGGGAATAGACGATGGATGCATGCTTGCTGTGAGGGGTAGGCGTCAAGAGCGGGTTAGAAGCAATGAGTGCCTGCGTAGTGTTAATCGACGCGGCAATCGTCCTCGTCTACCAAATTTGTTTACGCGATGCGGGATGCCGGACTCCCTTGTGGGTTTACACCGAGCTACTGCCATGATATTATGTGGCAGCTGCTACTTCGGCTGCTTCAATGATCGCTCTCCAAGGACTTCTTGCAAACCACGGGAGCTGGCTCTTCCATACCGTATTCTACACAAGATACCACACCCCGGTGATAACATTTTGGGCTTCAAAAATATTATCACCGGGTGTGGTATTGTGGGGGGGGTGTGGTATCTTGTGTACCCCGGTGATAAAGCCTAGCTCGCAGGAGCTCCTCAGGGGGTGTGATAAACCAGGGGGTGTGGTAGCACATGCGACCACCCACAGGGAGGGTTTGGGAGTGGGATAAAAAAGGGGGTGTGATAAAATGGGGTGTGATAACACGTCGGAACACCCAAAGAGTGTGTTCGGGTGTGTGATAAACAGGGGGTGTGCCGCTTGCGTAGAAGTCTGCTCGGGTTGAAAGAACGAGGTGATCTGTGGCGCCTGTGCTGCTGCGGTCGAAGCAGTCGTGGGAGAAGCAGATGTACTTGCGGCGGCATTCTGCTCTTCCCGCACGTTCATGTTCTCTGAGGTCTCCATGTCTCCCCCCGTACGGTACAAGCTGTGCGTGTGTGATGCTGTTTCACCCCCGGTGATAGAGACAGGGAATGTATGCGGCGTAACCTGTGTTATCACCGGGGTGTGGTATCTTGTGTACCCCCGGTGATAAATCATGGTCTGAAAAATACACCCAAAATTACCACCGGGGTGTGGTATTGTGGGGGGGGGTGGTATCTTATGAGGGTGTGGTATCTTGTGTAGAATACGGTAGTTGCGAAAGTCGATAATCTGAAATGTTTTTAAATGCACTTTTTCAGCATGTTAAGCGTTCAGGACCAAGTGCATCGAAGCTGTCAGAGAGGAAAAGATATAATCGAGTACCTTCAGAGTGTCCCGCCCACTGCATGAGTCATGGCAGCTTATGTGGAGACGCGAATCGACTAACATGTTTATCATGTCGGTCAGGTTGCCGAGCCAGAGGTGCGATACGACCCAGTTCGTTTGGAGGAACAGCTCTTCAAGCAGCCTGTCAAGTGGCTCGTGAGAAATGTCGAGCTCTTCGTACCGCTTGGAACTTTCGTGGCTAAGGTCCTCTTTGACATTCAGGTGTGTATGAATGTATGTACACGTGACGATCATCACATTCACGCCTGGGTGTTGCTACTGTACTGCTCGGCGAGGCGATCCGGTTGCATGCCCGTGGTAGGCATGCACCGGTATTCAGTGCTCTCCCGAGCCGTGCGTTATCACCCACAACCAAACGGTACTCTCTGCCATGTGATGTGACGTGAGTCACGTGGAGCCAGTAAGGGCGAGCTTGTTTTGGTGTTGAGAATTGAGGACCAACGCCAGAGGAAGGCAGTGAGGTAGACTACACCTGCCTGGTCGTGCCGCCGTGAAGCTCTGTTTGGCTTGTTGAAGGGCTATTGTGTGGAGCAAGAAAGTACTGTTAGCGACGATCGACGACGTGTCGGCGAATGGGGGCGAAGATGCCGTGTCGTCTATTACGCGTGCATTCTGTATGTAGAGGCACAAACGTCTTCTTTGCGTAATGCCGCTAGCAATCCACCCGCGAGTTTCCACAAACACCCATCTTCACCAATGACATAGACCCTACCCGGCGTTTTTTTATGCTCGGTACCTGTGGGCCACAACTGCATGGATTGTGATGGCTTGGCGGTTTTAGTCTGGCGTGGAATCGAAGAACCGCAAGAAGCGGGCGGGGGAGCTGCTGGACATCATCGGCCGGCTTGGGCCTGCCATCATCAAAGCCGGCCAGGCGCTGTCCTCCAGGCCTGACTTGCTTCCCAAGGAGTACCTCGATGAGCTCCAGAAACTGCAGGTGCTTGGTATCGATGCTGCTGTTGTTGTTGTGACTGTTGTTGTTGCCGTTGTGTCAACACTGGCAACCCGCTTCCCGAGCTCCTGAGAAAACAGAGCATGTGATGGTGATACTGTACCGACTGCTGCAGTGCACAAGCGCCGCCCCCACACAATTTTTGCAGCGCCCTTTAATCCCTCGACCCGTGCATGTGTGGCATCCTCCCCTATCCCATGGGCGTGACCCATTTACCGCCGCTACACACTCTGGTGTCATTCCCACCTCTCGCCCGTGCAGGACCGTGTTCCGGCATTTAGCAACAAGGAGGCGTTTGCGGTGGTGGAGTTGGAGCTCGGGGTGCCCTTCGAGGACGTGTACGAGCTGGTTGAGCCGGAACCGATTGCGGCGGCATCTATCGGGCAGGCAAGTTTTGGATGAGGCAAAGATGATGAAGCGCCCCGTCTGCATCAAGATTCGACCCCACTTGACATTCTGTGTGTAAGCGCCGGGGGAGTGTCGCGATGCTGCACCAGCATGTCCAACATGTCAATGCCGAGATTGTAGCTGTGGGTGTTTTTCGGGGGACATACAATTTTGTAGTTGCTTGAGGAGAAAACCTGAGAGTCGTGTCTGTTACTGCTGTCCGCCTGCGGAGCCCACCCCCGACGGACCTTCTCTTTGCTATCCAACCTGCGAACGTCGTGAACTGTGTATCTAGGATGGCAGCCAAAGAAACAAATGATTGATGAATGGGTTGGACGTGCGCGCACATGAAGGAAATGAAAAAAAGCCAACGTGTAACGTCACTGCCTTGCCGCCTGTTTTGTGTTGCATTGTTTTGTCTTGTCTAGCTTGCGTGCTGTACGGTACAGCAGCCACAGCCTCGTGGGCACCCGTGACTCCCTCGCCCGCCGCCAAACCAAAAACGGTAGTACGATCGATGGAATGTAGATGTTCGCCCCGTCGCCGTCGTTTGAGAAGCTTCCCTCGTCGCTGTCTTTTGAGAAGCTTCCCTCGTCGCTGTCTTTTGAGAAGCTTCCCTCGTCGCTGTCTTTTGAGAAGCTTCCCTCGTCGCTGTCTTTTGAGAAGCTTCCCTCGTCGCTGTCTTTTGAGAAGCTTCCCTCGTCGCTGTCTTTTGAGAAGCTTCCCTCGTCGCTGTCTTTTGAGAAGCTTCCCTCGTCGCTGTCTTTTGAGAAGCTTCCCTCGTCGCTGTCTTTTGAGAAGCTTCCCTCGTCGCTGTCTTTTGAGAAGCTTCCCTCGTCGCTGTCTTTTGAGAAGCTTCCCTCGTCGCTGTCGTTTGAGAAGCTTCCCTCGTCGCTGTCGTTTGAGAAGCTTCCCTCGTCGCTGTCTTTTTCACATGCGGTATGTGCATACGACGCTGCTGTTTTCTGCAGGTGTACAAAGCCCGGCTCCGTGTTAACGGAAACCTCGTCGCGATCAAGGTCCAGAGGCCAAACTGCGAGTCTACTATCTCTCTCGACCTCTACGTGCTGCGTTTCTACGCTGGGTTCTTGACCAAGGCGCTAAAGGTCTTGAAGCGAGAGGTGGACCTGACTAACATCATCGACGACTTCGGGGAGTTGATCTACAGGGAGATTGACTACCGTGCGGAGATGGTGAACTGCCAGCGGTTCGCGGAGCTGTACGCAAACATCCCCGATGTTTTTGTGCCTAAGGTGAGGGAGGAACGGAAAGATAGGGAGAAAGAGGAAGAGAAAGGAGACAGAGAGACGGAAAGACAGAGACAGAAGCGGATGAGGGAGGAGCCGCAGAGGTGCTACTAGTGCACTTGTGTTTTTTTTTCCGTTGGGCACGTTGTGTTGTTGTTGTTAGCGCAGACCTCGCGAACCCGGTCACTAATCAATGAACGGACCTGGGACCCACTAGGAAACAGTACGGGAATGGGGATGAATATCCTCACGTCCGCCGTGTCTTTGGGGATTCTGTGTCGAGAATGCATGGAGTTGAGCGGCGTGCTTTGCTATCGATCAGGCTCCAGCACTGCCTGTCGTTGTATGCCGTCATTTTGCTGCTTCAAGGTCCATGCCTTGTGCTGTTGAGTTTGTGATGCCATTCCTCGTACCTTTGCCCCACGTATGCTACAGCAGTACGATCGATCTATCCTATCCTATCCTATCCTATCCTGTCGTTACGAGGCATGATTGGCTTGATGTCGCTGTAAGGGGTGCGATTGGGTCCACTACAGAATTGACAAATTGGTTCCACGGTGTTTGGCTGCAAGGCTTGTTGTCACTCCCTCTCTGTCACATGGTTCGCTCAGGTCTTCCGAAGGCAGATTTCCTGTTAAGCCTACTCCCAGCTTGTTTTCATTACCTACCCAGAGAACGTTGCGTTTGTAGTCATATATCGTGCAGCAGTGGTTGTACCAGCAGCGGTAGCAAAGATACCATTCTGTTTACTTTGCGTAGCATCGCCCAGGTCTTGTTTTATTTGGGGGGGGAGGCTCCTGCGACGGATCAGACGCGAAGGCCCTTTCTCTCTCGTCACCTCAGAATGCGCTTACCTGCTTGTGGGATTCTCCTGCTTTGCTCTACTCAAGGTATACGCGGAGCTGACGTCTCGAGAAGTGATGACAATGGAGTGGGTGGAGGGGGCACGGCTGTCAGACAGGGTTATGCTCGACAAGTACGGCCTAGAGCCAGCGAGACTCGTTGACACCATGGTGAGAACAGGTCTTCCTTTCGCGTGCGTAGAGCCTGTATGCGTTCGTACTGTAGATATGACGTGGCCTTTTGGTTGCTGATTCCAAATTCCAGCATGTGGAACCGTGGTTCGGTGGTATCTCTTGTTTTCCTGTATCATGATGAGTGTGAGATTGTTGTTGGACTTACGTGTGCCATACGGGCTTGTGTTTAGAGTCTGAACCGAAGGTGTTCTCGGACTACCATTTGGTCGTAGTATACACCGAAGTGACGGTGCTTGTGTTGAATGTTGATGCACGCTACATGAGGTGGGTCTACCCTGGGGGGCGATAGGTTTCTCGCTTTGGCACTGGCCTGGCATCTTGCGTACATGGGAGGACGCAAAGCCCGCTTTCCGGGGCATCTCTCGTTCGGATGCTCTTCGCCCACGGCGCTGGGGAAGGATTCCCTCGGTGTTTACACCCCGGCCATTTTTATCCTCGCCGCGCGAACGAATAACTCCTGCTTGTTGTTGCTGTGCAGGTGCAATGCTCCCTGAGGCAGATGCTGGAGAACGGTTTCTTCCACGCGGACCCTCACGCCGGTACGCCACGCAACAATCTTTGTGTGGTATTATAGCAACCGCTGTTGTAGGGAAGGGTAAAAGCTTGACTCGACACGTTGGCATTTGCCGGGATGTTGACGATCACGAACAGTAAGCTAAGGAAGGCCCATTTCCGCGAAAATGTTTAGCTGCAGACTCTGATATCTGGTATGGTATGGACAAGCGAACAGTTTTACGACCCACTCCCGAACGACTCTTACAGATGGAAGATCCTCCCCAATGCTACCAACGAATGTGCAGGAAACCTTCTGGCTCTACCAGACGGGAAGCTTTGCTACTTGGACTTCGGCATGGTGAGTGATAGTGAGATTTTTACACAATACAAGCTTGTGCCGTATGGAAAGAGTTCGGGCACCCTCTGTTGTGTCAGACGGGGATAGTTCGGGCAGCCCCCTGCAATGGATAGAAGTGATGGAAGTGATGAAGAAAGTAGATCGAAGGGTTGCTTTGTCCGTTTGACCTTTTTTTCTTTCTTCACGGTGTAGATGATTGAAATGAGTTGATGAGAGGATATCAAAGGTGATGTAGATGGTGACGGTCGGAGGGTGCCTTTGTCATGGAATTGTGGATGATTTGCGGTTCGGACATGTTCAGGTGTGCGAGGTGTTGAGGCTATTATAATAATTTTTTCTCTCCATTGTGTTTAATAGCGTTATTCCGGAGGCTGTCATGTCTAGCACGAGAGGAGTCGTGCCGTTTCAAGCCTTTCATTTGATTTTGCTGCCGGCTGTGTGTTTTTTTGTTCTGCATGGCCACGGCGGGCTATAGTCTTAACGAACCCAGTTCCTTGAAGATGTCGTTGGGTAGGGGGGTAGGCGACATGGCTCTCGACACAGAGGAGATGCTGTATCTTGAGCCGTCGGACACTTGGCGTTGTCCAATGCTCTCCAACCCGACGCACGATGTTATCTACAGGTTAGCTACGTGGAAGCGGGACAGCGGTACGGGATCATCGAGGCGGTGATTCACCTGGTAAACCGCGACTTCGTGGCGCTGGCCGACCTTTACAAGCGCTTGGGATTCATCCCGCAGGATCAGGTATTGTACTGTGCCGGGGAGTCCAAGTCCGATTTTACCACAAGCCTCATCGGCATAGTCCTACTGTAGGTGTGGTGTAATCGACTAGAACTCGTTTCGTGCGGGTCTGGTCTTCCATCGTTGAGAGGGCGTTCGAAGCGGTCCTCACATGTCTCATGAGCTTGTTGCAGATGCTGTGTCTCCGTGTTCGTGGCCGTGGCCGTGGTGTGTGCGTGTACTCCACACGCACACCCTGCCGTCGTTCGAGTCGCTTGGCGGGGTTGGCCATGGTGCCGATTCCGCGGGAACTAGACAAGTACCAGGTTCGACTCCACCTGCGCTTCTCACAAACGACGACCACTACGGCCACGGCCAGGAATGTAACTTTCAGCATTGCTGTTTAAGAGTGCGCTGTTCGGTTTAGTGTCACTCCATCAGTAGACCCAACCTGAATCAGCCCTCCGCGCCCCCCTTCACGTACTGCTGTATTTCCAGGATACGGCCCCGATCGTTGCAGCGTTGGCGAAAGCTTTGCCGGACGTTCTGAACGCTTCGGTGTCCGAGTTGAACTTCAAGAACGTGATCAACCAACTCGGGGATGTCATGTACACCTTCCCCTTCTCGCTGCCGCCTTACTATATAGCCATCATCCGCTGCCTGGGGGTGCTAGAGGGAGTTGCTCTACAGGTGATTTAATGCCATGTGTCGAATCCCAAAGCTATGTACGCCTGCTTGGAATGTGAATTCGGTAGTTTCGAGGGTGCGGTTTGGTTTGACGAAATTGTGTGCTGAGAGTCGATGCATGAGTGAATCGATACGCTTGATACACGTGACATTTCTTGCGGGTGATCACCCTCGCTGACCATTGCGGCACCGCACCGTATCACAGGTGGACCGCGAGTCTCGCATCCTCTCGGAAGCTTACCCGTACATCGCGAGCCGGTTGCTGACCGACTCGTCTCCGGAGCTGCAGGATGCTCTGCAACAGCTCCTATTCAAGGATGGAAAACCAAGGTGAGCCAAAGACGAAAACAAACACAAACAACGAGCGACGTGGCATGGCATGGCATTGTATTGTATTGTATGGCTTGGCAAGCCGCGACGTATGTGTCAGCGAGTAAGCAAGGGCGAAAAACGTACTCCGTAAGAGCGAGTGGTGTGCCATACCAGTGTGCTCCATGTGATGCAATGGGTTTCGTACTGGTCGATTTTATCCGGTTTGAAAGGTGTACGTAGCATTCACAGGGTCATAGTCATGCCTTCACATGGAAGTGGCCATCCGGTGAGATAACCGTTGTTTCGTCTTTTTTACGCGGCGTGCGGCGCTTGTGTGTGTGGAATACATGGCAATTTCCATCCCGCCATTCGCACGATAATCGACATCTGTTGGTCTTTCGACCATTTGATTCTGAGACAAGAGTTGAAGGCTGCCTGCTGCCGCTTTTACTTCACCGTGGTTTGACAGGTGGGAACGGTTCGAAGAGCTGTTGGAGGAGGCGCGCGGCACTCGCGACTATGACGTCACGCTTGCCATCAACCAGATGGTAGACTACCTCCTCAGCGAGAACGGGGCGCAGATCAGGCAGCAGCTGTCTGTGCAACTGGTTGATCAAGTGGACCAGCTCGGCGTCGACGCCATCACTTTCGCTAGAAAGAACGTGGGCCAGGTGAGATCAATCACCACATGCCTGTTATGTAGTTTTGACGCATGAAAAACGCACGATTGCTGCACTTCGCACGTTCTGTCAATCATAATTTACCGAGGTCGTATCGAGGACTAATTGGTGTGGGGTATGCATGCCTCGTGTTTTTGTGTCATTGGTATTTGCGAGTGCGCGAAAGCCGGGCAGGAAATCTCGCCGATTTTTCGTGTCATCTCCGCACCAGGGTTCTGTTTAGTTCTATGCATCATTGTGGGCCATTTGTTTGGCTCCATGTATTGCAACAATACTTCGCTGCTTGTAGAAGAGACCAAACTATCACTACAATGCACACACAGCGTGGCTAATCAAGGTGTCATGAATTGCTGGTAGGGAAGCGTGAGCCTTGCGCCTCATGCAACCCTGTCGGTACGAATCTCTATCGAACCATTTTGTTGTTATCTCATCTCTGTCGATGCCCGTCCCACCCACCACCCGCCCCTTCCACGCAGATCAACGCGGGAAAGATCCCCGGGTTCCTGTCTGGAGACCGGCAGGTGCTCGAAGACCTGATGGCCAACAAGGACATGACGCCTGCCATGGCTTCCACCGCTCGCGTGGTCAACCTCCTCACCAGTAGCGCAGGGTTCGACGCTGGAAAGGTGCGATCGGTCGGAGGGGGGAGTTATCGTTTCACCAAAACGAAGAAATAAAAAGTGATGACAGCAGTAGTATCTGAAGCCAAGGATATCATCGAGTGATGGATTCATACGAGCATTTTTTGCCTCATGTTTGCTTAGTTCCTTCCATAGTGCAGTCGTCCACGAAAACCTCGTGTTCTGTGTGCAGCTAGGTTTTCTTTTGCTACGCCGGCGAATAGCTGGACCGGTGGGTACTACGCTTCTACGCGAGCCAGTGTCCTTCCCGTATTTTGGAAGGCCGGATGCCGCAAACCTAGCTGGATCCAAGCATTAGCTTTACCTCGCCCGTCAGTTTTTTTTATTGTTTTGTTCGTGTACGAAGCAGAGTGTTTCGAGCAGGATGCATTGCGCCATTTTTTCACGAGCTACTGCACTCTATTGCTCGCCCGCCGTCTTCTAATCAGAAACCTCTATTTTTTTGTCTTCTAATATTTCAGATTATCCCGCTATTGCGGCGACTATTGAGGGAGCCGGAAGCCCAAGAGCTCACCGTCCAGCTTGCATCCAACCTTTCGGAGCGCGCTGTGACTCGTACCATCCGCGCCATCTTCAACGTCAAGCAGCCCAAATACGACGACGCCCCACCGCCGCCGCCGCCGCCTCCAGCAGCCCCGGCAGCAGACACATCGGCACCTGTCCCTGCCCGCCGGTAGCCGTTTTTGTAGTACGCTATGTACTGCACACTACTACAATACCACCTTTGATTCGGGCCAGACCTGCCATCCGTGCCTTGGAAGAGCGGGCGGTTTTACACCACATCACATCGCTCAGCTCGGACGGTCGCCCCGTGGTCTAGACTGCACTATATACTACTAGATAGTGGGTTCGATTCTTTCTAGGAACGATGACAAATTTGCGATCTAGAGAACGATTTGCTCGTGAATGTACACCGTACGTGGGGAGGGACTGCTGAACGTAAAACCTTCTTGCTTCTGGCGTTAACAGCGAACGCGAGAGCACCGTAACGCAGGCGTAACATGGGACAGCAGTGGATACTCCCATGTTGTATTTTATTTCCCTGTGTCAGCTCTCTTGCCCTTGTGTGACTCACTTCGCTTTTTGTCTTGCCTTCAGCATTGGCGCGCCTATTGGAAACTGACAGCTAGTCAAACATGCACCGGTGTGTTGACTATGATAGACTGGCACCAGAACAGACGGGAGGAAAGAGGAAAGTAACACCGACCAAAACACTCGGTCACACACACGGCGGAGATGGATTGACTTCGTGCAATGGTGCAAACCTTGGCCTCACGTGATAGTTGTAGATGCAGCGCGCGTTCATGCGTGGATTTCCTAGACGATGTGCTTCGTGAGGGTCGAACGGCCTCGAAACCAGCAAGTTACTGTGTACCCAGCGAGGGTAACTTCGTTGCCAATCTTGAGGTCTTGATGTCCCCTGGGGGCAAAGTGTTGAGGTGGTGTAGGCAGTCGCTGAACCGGGTTTTTGGGGGCCGACAAGTGCGGCCCGCGACCAGATTTGCTCGCCGTTGACGATCTTGACGTATGGATGAGTGCTCTCGATGGCCCACGCATGGTACAAATGTAGCAAAGGCTGTGTTGTGTTAGTTTTGGTGACGTCGAGGCCTGCTGGCGGCATCGTGTCCAGTTCAGTTGACGTTGTCCTACACCAGGAGTGCGAGGAACAGTTGTAGATTGCCGCGGTGTTGACTTTTTGAGCGTTCTACTTTCCTTTCGCCCAATACCTGGAGTGGCAGCTTTCTGCCGAGGATTGGTCAGGTCATGTACAGCGGTAGACTTGAGTACAGTATCGGCAATGGCGGAGGAGGCACAATGTATGTGCGAATTGAAATGGATAGTGTGATCTTTGCTCAAAGTGCGCTTGATGAGTTGTACGTGTTGACGCTACGCAGGCATCGTGGGCCTGAAGAAAATTATATTGCATTGTTTAACTTGCACCAAGCGCAGACAGACAACAGAGACACGGAGCGAGAGAACGCGCGTGCGCTGATGAGCAGGTAACATGCAAGCTAGGCTACACCTACTACCCCGATGATTGAGCAAAAACGGAGAAGATAAAGAAGATTCCATCGATGTGTGTTACGCACGTGGATAGATTGCCCGAGGGATGTTTTGACCCGTCCACATCACAACGCTTCGACGAGGCCTCAAAACAAGGTCGAGCATTAGACTATGAACCAAGCAAACCGAAAAAAAAACGAAACTCCACCCCACACAGGCAAACGTTAAGTTTAAGAGCTCCCACTGTCGTTTACTACTGTGGTGACATGTACGTACAGGGCAGCAAAGGTGACACGACAGTCGCCAACCTGAGAGCAAACACAGACTACAGCATATCAAGTAAATCAGATCGTCATCATCATCCGACCACGAACACCAATCGAGAGAGAGAGTGAGGGATTGAGAGACACGGAGGACTGGGGCAAAAATGCTGGATTTGAAGGGCAGTACCGTCGTGTGAGTGACACCACCTGTCTGCTGTATCGTACACCCCACAAACACTGTCAACCCATGCTCATTGCCAAAGCCTACCGTTCCATGCCACGAAACATGCCGTCTGTTTCCTTCCAGTCGACGGTCGCGATTTCACGCAAGGAGAGAGAGCCGTGCAACAACATCTATACCACTTTGTTTCACACGAACATCTGTCGGACACAACGCTGTGTGTGTACCTCTGGTCATAATAAACTTCGAGGCAACTTGACATCCAATACTCTTGTCGCCGGCCACGTGCAAGCAACGATCATACCGCGATATGAGAATGGTCACGTGTCACAGCCGTAAATCTCCAGCACGACTGACTCCAGCCACTATACTAAACCCACGCGGTAGCCAGCAGCCTACCCCCCATTCCCCCCCCTTGCCTGTACGACCGGAAGCTTTTTCTTCTGTTGGATACATGCTGAGAACTAAATAATCCACCGTAGCACCGGACAGAATTTCATGACGGTCACCAACGCCACATGGCAAGAGGAGCACCCCTCCACGTTACGCGGCTTCCCTTTGTGCAAGCATATCATATCATATCATAACAAGCTTGCGGGCGGGGTCCACGGGTGCAAGCGCCACGTCCTGGCCTAATCCTCAGATTCCTAAGGACTCTGCCTTGGCTGTGGCTACCAAACTCTGAGGAGATGCCCATCATCATCATCACCATCATCACCATTGTTCGGCCGCCCGACGGCGTTCCTGCTGTACTTGGGCAGGGAGGCGGTTCAAGGTCAGCCTCGCGAGGGTGAAGGCAGGTCTTCTTTAGGCCAATCCTCCGCCGGGAGACTTCACAGCAGCCATGGTGGGAGCGGAGGTCATGCTTGGAGAGGCCGACGAAGTGGTCATCTTCGATTTCGATTTGATCGTCGATCGTGGTCGCTTGGTCGGGAGGGCGTTGGGCGAGGGCAGGCAGGCCTCCTGTTCAGCCGGCGCTTCGGAAATCTCGCCGCTTGTGCTCGCCTCACCCCTGGCCTCCCTCAGCTCCGCCTCGAAGTTCTTTCGCATAGTTTGTTCCCTGGTCAATGAGTTTTTTCGCGTGAATTGAGGGCAGTTGAAGGAGGTCGTCAAAACACACTCTTAGGCCACACTGTAAGCGGGGGCAACACCAAACCTCGCTCTTCGCTTGCACTATTTTAGTAAGGACTTGCGAAATAAATAAGAGCCAACTGTCCCCAAACCTCAAGTTCCCCCACCATTGTGTTGATCTCGCGTTCCCTCGCTGTACATGTTTCCTCACCAAGTAGACTGATGGTTCACTATTATCGTTTATCGTGACAGCAGGAGCCACTGAGTCATCGGGTTACTACTGTAAAGTCACGCTGACACCCTTTCACAGGCAAGGCATCCGAGGGCGAGAATCACGTTACTACAATGCACATGTGTGCAACGAAAAACAACAGCCAACGGAGGCCTCCACCGCACATACCTGGCTTTGAACTTGAGAATGATCCTCCTGCGGCTGGCGTCATCCATCTCCATCGTCTCCTTAAGCTGGCGTAAAAGGCTCTCCTTCTCCGCCTGCAAGTGTCGGAAGTGTCGGGATAAGGACGCATGAAGGATAATGGTTAACTTATGGCTAAGGCTGGGGTATGAATGGGCCCGGGGTTCGGAGTGAAACCGCAGCATTGTCTTCACCACACAGTCTTCGGAGGGTATTGGCGGTAACTATGGGAGAACGTCATGTCGGGGTGGACACTCACAACTCATGCTTCGTTGGTGGAGTATTCGTGCTTACATGAGGACTTGGCAGAACAGTGCATCACCACAATACTGTGATTGAGTCAATGGAATAAGCTGAACCATCGCATCCTACTGGGAAGCATTTGAAAGGGTTTCCCCCGTTTCGACCCATTATCTCAGACGCGGCGGCGGCCTGTTCGAAGTTGAGAAACGTTCTGGCAAACATGTGCAGAAGTAAACCACGAACTGCCCCGTTCGCTGCGTACCTCAGAGAAAAACTACCGTAAATGACACAAGATAACACACCCCCTGGACCGATTTTCAAATCTCGATTTCTCACAACAGAATGAGTCACGGCGCCGAAAACGTTGGCGTTGGAACCGTCTTGTCGAGAGCTTTCCAACAACGTATCGTTTCGTCTATGCATCCTCTTCGTCGTGGAGTAATCGAGCGTTGAAAATTGGTCCAGGGGATGTGTTATCTTGTGTCATATATGGTAGGCAACTGTTGGTGTCATTCAAAGCGAGAGACAAGCTGGGTTTGCTACGTGCATCGCACGCAAGTGTTCGATACAATGTGCGAAAGCGAGTCATAGCCTAAATAACCAGTCTCTTGGCCTGCCTGGAGCTGATTTCTTTCTTCGCGAGCGAGTTCCTGGCCCTCTTCCGCCAACGCCGCCCGCTGTGCGTACAACTCCCGATCCCGTTCCATTTCCTCAGCCATCTTACGCTTCACCTGGTAGGGGTCACCCATGACGGACAGTTACAGGTGTCGTTTCACCGACAAGCTAGAAAAAGCCCGTTCAACATGGACTCTTAAAATCGTTTCGTCGATGTATGTAAACGAACAATGCTAAGAAAGTGAACACTTGCGGAGCCGTTTCATGTCAGTTGTGCTTGTGCTCCCCGGTGGTGCGTGCTGACCACATCAACCATGGCAAACTCCCGGCAACAACTATTATACGAATCAGCAAGATATACGCCGCCATCGAGACCGAGACCGGAGTAAAGCAACCACTTGCCGACCCAAGTGAAGTGTAGACCACGGGAGGACTCCTGCAACAATTTTGACTGGCACCGACAAATTCAACGCACTCCGTCTCTCTCTCTCTCTCTCTCTCTCGTGTGGGGAGGTCGGTGTCGGGCTAGACCGGAATCCAACGATTGTGTTGCAACCTTTGCCCATTGCTCCCAAACAACAACGACAACCCGTTCAACCCCATCGTGCGACTGATGTACCATCGTACGACATTTCGAATAGAGTGCACTCACTTAGTCCGAGCGTGTCGCGGGAACCTATTGGAGAATGGGACCGAAGGTCCAGCATCAATGTATGCAAAGGCTCACGGAGAGATATTCCAGTTTCCCGTTGACAACATTAACCTTGCCTGCATCCACTACGCACAGAAATCAATCGTGATCGCTTTTTCTCGACAACGCTGTGCAACTCCACGAAGCCTGGCGGAGCGACAGGCTCGCAGAGTTACTGCAGCTAAAAAAAAACACAACAATGCACCCACCTCCTCTACGATTTCGCTGTCGCGCTCGCCGGCCTCCTCCAGGAATCTCGACCGCTCCGCCTCGTGCCTCGAGCTAAGCTCCGCCTCGAGCGCATCCCTGTCCCTGGCCGCCTGGGCCCACATCTCTTCCCGCACCGCCATCAGCTATAAAAGTACAATAGAGGTAGAGGACCAACAGCACCAGGGGCAGCGAGCGAACAAGGGCAAGGGCAAGGGCAAGGGCAAGGGCAAGGGGACGGAGGGAGCAACGTCGGGAACCTAGACGTTCACGAACAAAGGCCGGCGCGTGAAGAGATGGAGAAAGGATCAATCGATGGTATGCATTTCTCCAGCCAAGAAAGTGTACTAGCGAGTGTGGCGCCACCGTACAAAACCGTGTCTATTTCCATGGCTGCAAAACCAGCTCCGATGCTGCGGATAGTTGGGGCACCTCATGTTGGTGCGTGTTGTTCAGCCATACCATTACACGGCTTTCACGGCTACGGTGCCGTATTCACAGCTCCTCTACTGCTACAAGGTACATCGCCCTGCCGTATAATCGCGGCCAAAAAAGAGTGCCTAGAAAAACACTCCACCACTCTATTGGCTTTTGGTGTCTCTTTGATTTTGCCATGGCCATCGTGGCGCACTTTGTGCATGCATATGTTGTTGCGTATCCGCAAGCATGGAAATACTCTACACGCAGAATGCTGCACTGCTGTGTCATGCATACTTAGCGCGATGTTGTGGGTGTGGTTTTGGCGTGGTACTGTACATGGGCACATTTGCCTAAAGTGATAAGCTTCAGCAAACGCCCAAAGACGCCAGTGGTCAGGCGAATCGCGCTGCCGACGCAGCCAAAAACGCACGCCACACAACAGGCAACACAACATGAAAAGTGGCATTTCTAAGTCATCAGGACTTAATCCCTCCCCGTGCACAAGCATGGAATATTTTTGGAGTGATCTGAACTCTGACCTGGCCCTCGAATTCCTTCTGCATCCGTTCCCTCTCGTTCTGCAGCTTGAGTTTCAACTCTTCCACTCTGTCTTTCAGGTCCTTGTTACCCTTGAGCCGCATCTCGCGGTGTTGGCGTGTTCGTTCCGCTAGAACCGCCTCATCCGCGCTGAAAGTGAGGACAAAGCAGCAACAACCGCGGCAGCAGCAGCAGGACTGTCTGGTGACATTCGGTCGGACCAACATGATGAATCATGTGCTTCGCTATCATTGATTGCTTAGATCAGGTGGCACCAGCAGAGTGATAAGGTTCGCATGTTTCGGGGTGTGATAGTTATTGGTTCGGTGGGGGTCCTGAACGTATGCACAAAATGCCCTCTGGCTGCACCTGCTGATGCTCAGCTTCGTGTACACATGCAGATCTTACGGCCGCCGCATGGTGCAACACATCAGTAATTTCACGTCAGGTGTTCTCCTCACGGGTAGTGTGGGATCGAACAGGCAGTGGCATCGCCTCACACGAGGGTCGGGGTCGCCACTCCTTGTAAACAGGAAGGGAAAATAGTGTCCCGTCATGGTGTATGTCGATGAGCGACAATGGTCATTACCTCAATTATTCACGGCCAGCTTATCGGAGAACGAACGGGCGAAAATGATATCTGCTTCTCAAAATTGCCTCTTTATTGCGTAAGTCGCCGGCGAACAATTGATGTTTCTTTTTACATAGTACACGTAAGGCTGGTGCTAATACACCAAAAAGCTTCACTTTTCAGAATGGGCAGAAATCCGGCTTCTTATACAGCCAGACTCTTCAGTTTTTTGGGTCGACAAAATCTGGGTTCAGCTTATTGGGTGGCCTCACACGAAAAGATTGGAATAAATCAGGATGGTGCCCACCCAGATTTATCATCCCAACAAGTTCACCGCTGGGTGAACCCAGACGACATAATCGGCGAGTGCGACCTGAGTACTTGACGTATCGCTCCCATCAAGGGCTCCCAGCAACCCTACACTCAAGGGCTTCCTATTCTGCACGCTGGCTGTTGATGGTCGCTTGGAGGACACCGCAACTTATTTCTCGCTCCCTAGGCCACCGATCGAAGCCAGACCGGTCAGGGCGTGCTCTCTGTTCCTTGCTCTGCCGGAGTACAGTTGCTCAGCAGCTCGTTGATCCAACCATTCGAAATCGTCGTCTGCGTGTACACAAGCTGTCTGTTGAAAATTGTTTTCAGGCCTTCAACACATGACTCTATTCTCAAGTGAGGCAGACCAGAAAAATATCACAGTTCGAAAAAGCAACGGGCACCACGCGCATGATTCTCTCCGCCTACCGAGAGTACGCGCTGCCGAGCAAATCTACTCTGGCAGAGAGCAAGGAACAGAGAGCACGCCCTGACCGGTCTGGCTTCGATCGGTGGCCTAGGGAGCGAGAAGTCAGTTGCCGTGTCCTCCCCTCTCTGACTGAAACTCTTTTTGCTGTCTCGTGGCGACTTGGCCTAGTTCGGCGTCTCCCATGCTTGGTGTGATGCGGTATGTTTTTGTTACGCACGCGTGCCAAGCGACCATCAACAGCCAGCGTGCAGAATAGCAAGCCCTTCAGCGTAGGGTTGCTGGGATCCCTTGATGGGAGCGATACGTCAAGAACTCAGGTCGCACTCGCCGATTATGTCGTCTGGGTTGATCTACACCCACCCCCCAATAATCCGCCTCAGGAATCCGGCTGACTGTAAGAACGGCCAGACTTGTTTCCAGCCGGACTATTGCTCATCCTGAAATGTCAGGTTTTTGGGGGAAATCAGGTGTACATACAGTCGACCCCGCTTTAGGGACGCACATGGTTTTTCCCGGAAGAAAGCGTTATTAAAGCGGGGTTGCGTCCTTAAAATTCAGGGGACAATAGCTCACCATCCCCGGGGCCAATGGAGGCATGCTACCCCTCAAACTACGTGTCTTTTGCTAAGGAAGGGTGTGGTACTAGAAGTCGGCATCGCCGAGACGACTGGCAACCGTTTGTTGACGTCGAACATATTTACAATACTTGAAATGCGATGTACAGCAGTCGGGGACGTGTTCAAAACAACTACAGTACACCAGTTTGTACTTGGCCAATTAATGTACTGCATAGTCGGCAGCGGAAGAAGGAGGGACGTCCAAGTAGACATACATTTCTCTCATTCTTATGAAACAAAAAAAAAACGAGCGCATTTCAGCGTCGCACCGAGGAACACCAGTACATATCACTGTCCCGGCGGAGACAAAAAAAGAAGCTACCGTGACGTGACGGCTTTGCCCTCCACATTTCGCGAAGAGTCTCCTGCACCTCCCCCCGCGGCTTGGCTCTACGGCTCTGTTGAGTTTCATGAGTAAACGAATGAACGGTCTTCGAAAGAAGGTACTGCGTCTCACGGTACACGCCACCCCTTCCCTTCGCGTACAAATACGATCGAACGTCCTCCAAGCGAGAGATAACCTCGCCCTCGGTGAGGGACGAGGTTATGCACGACTTTTTTTTACGGCATCAGATGGACCGCCGGTAGATGGGAGGAATCTATCCATACCAACACCCAGTTACAGCTGCAGCACCAGACCGCTCGCTACTTCTGCTGCCTGCGCGTCGCTACTTCTGCACTCACTATGGTGCGTGGTGCGTGCAAAGAGCGGCCCGCAGGGCACAAGAAAGGGGGGTACGCGGCAGAAAAAATGGGGTACCCCAATATCGTACATTCTGCCTGGCCCCCTGATGCTCAGCAAAAAGCAGTTTCCATAAAGCGGGGAGTTTCTTTAACGCGAGCGTCCATAAAGCGAGGTCGACTGTAAACCGCCTAACCTTACAAAAGACCACCCGTTTTGATGTTTCTTTGTTGCAGAATATGAAAATATAAATACAAACAACACAGCAAAGACTACCCGTTTGAGATGTGACCAAAGTCGAAGGGCATGTGTTGTCTTTTGCCTTTTTCCATCTCCGTTGCTCAAAAAACATGCACATGGTCTATTGATAGTGCCTCACCGCTCAACCTTTTGACTTCTAGGGTGACTATGCATACGTCACCTCTCAACTCTCAACAGCGATTCCGCCGCATCCGGGTCTTCTTGCTTTTGTACATCTCGATTCGATTCGGCATCTGTACAAATGAAAAACCATGACACGACACCAGCCTTTGCTGCCACAAAAACCGTATTGGATCTCGCTTAATAGGGTGTTCAATCTGGGTTCGCCACGTGTAGCGTTGGAAGCCCCGAAACCCATCGACCCACGAGCGCTCGCCCTGCTCATCGTATGCATACAGCCAGCCATACAGCCTGAGTTTCTGAGTTTCAAACGGGTACATACTCTTTCTTCCCGTTGGTGCTTCCAGTGTTCGCGACAACGGAACAATCTGCTCAACGCAACACCTCCCTGGAACAGGATGCCTTCTGGAGTACCACCCAAGATATTCTCTGTAACGCAGCGCTGCCGTTGTGAAATGCATCTCGGATCGAACGGATCACCACGCCAATCATGATACAAGTACTCCAAACCGGGAAGCAAGTTCATCCTCCATGTCGTTGGCCCTGCTATACTGCACTTCCTGTACACCGCACCTCATCTTTTGAACGCGCTCCTCCAATCGCTTCAGCCTGGCATCCTGAACCCGTATTACATCCGATTTTTGTACCTTTTTCCCTAGAATACTTCTCTCGGTAGCGTCGGTGCGAGCCTCCAGCGTGGCGGTGCTGACGGACGCCGTCGAGAGGACCCACAGCGCGAGCCTGAAAGCTCTCACCATCTCTCCTCTCCAAAAGGGACAACAAGGAGATGGTAGATATAGGACAAACCCACCAGCACACCAAGTTATCTGCGACACACACAAAGATACGCCCCAGCGTGACCCTGGTGTCCTCCTGCGTCGTTCCTTGTCGTGAGCTTCGTCTCCTCTCCTGTGTGCGGGCCTGGTAAGGCCCTCCGCCAAGAGGCGACGCAGATGTGATTATCCACACATCATGGTCAAGCTGTATCCTTCTGCGCGCCCCCCACAGGGAGCGGGCACTCGCGAAGCAGGCCGACAGAGAGACCACAGAGAGGGAGGAGAGAGAAGCAACAGCGGGAGAAACAGATGGCTCGATCAGAAGAACGCAGTGCGCGTGTGTCGTCCAGTTCGAAAAGAAAGAAAACAGATGACGACAAGCGCAGCAGCCTTCGCAGGAAAAGCCGCAGCAGGAGCCGCAGCAGGAGCAGGAGGACAAGCAGGGACAGCAGCAGCAGAATATCCAAGAGTAGATCCCGTTCGCTAGGAAGGAGGCGGCGTAGCCCCAGCCGCAGCGGTGACCGTAAAGACACCAGCAACGGAACCAAATACTCTAGGAAGCATCGCGAAGCACCTTCCCCGGCCAGAAGATCGCGGTCTCGGTCGTCAAGCGCGAGCGGTAGCGGGCACCGCCGTTTGACGGTGCGGGGAGATAGCAGGAGAGGTGGTGTGCGCGACCGCACACACACACGCTCGTCGCGAGGATTCGAAGGGCCGGCACGGGCACAGCAGAGGAGACCAAGATCTTCCTCTAGCAGCAGCAGCAGCAGTCGCGGTGGTGATAGCAATCGCCGCGGCCGCCGCCGCGCGCACAGAAGCAGAAGCAGCAGCAGCGGCAGCGACAGCAGTAACGAGAGGAGCAAGGGCACGAGCGCCCGAGAGAGAGAGAGAGAGAGAGGATCAGGCGGGCGAACAGCTTCTTTAGCCGTATCCCAGAAAAGAGTCAGATCGCCTTCTTCTTCCAGCAGCCGCAACAACAACATGCACGGGAAAAAGCGAGGCAGAGATTGGAAGACGAGATCCGAGCGGCCAGGAGCCCCCTCTCCCCAAGCCAGCAAACCGTACGGCAGCAGCAGCCCACCCGCCAGTGAGCGACCCGAGTCCCCGCCTGCTGCGGCGCGATTACGATGGAGCCCGTCTCCCTCGCCGATAGCTCCAACTGCCTCTGAGAGCATCCGACGGTCGCAGTCATACCGTGCTAAGAGAGATAACCCGGTCCAGCAAGCGGGGTCCTCGGCCTGTTCTCTCTCACGCACGAACGGCGGCCAAGTCTCAGGCAGTCGGGGCGCTGTCGATAAGGGCGACCTTGCTTCGCAGGACAAGCCCGAGAGGGACCGCAGGGGCGGGGGATCGCCGTCCCCGTCGTCCTCGTCGTCTTCAGACGGCCGGAGGCGAAGGCGGAGGAGGCCATGTCGGGAAGAGCCTCTAGGGCGCGTGAGCACAGGCAAGGGTTCCGATGCTCCTACAAGCCAGTCTACGACGGGTGGCAGCGCTGTTGGCAACAGCATCAGCAAAAGTGGAGACGTGGAGGCTCCATCGCCGTCCAAATCGTCCGCCATAGGAAAGAACGGTGCGTCGAAGAAGAAGCACGAGAAGGACAAGAAGTACAAGAAGGAAAAGAAGAGCAAGAAGAGCAAGAAGATAAAGAAGAACAAGGACGCAGACAAAGGAAGGCGTAGCGGTAGGGATGATGAAGGCTCGCCGTCGCCAACCCGCTCCGAGCACGGACGGCGAAAGTACCCTGTCGTCGACACTGCCGACGGCGGAGCTCCTAAACCGAGCGGGAGACGTACTCGTAGCGATGATTTCACCTCCCCACCTGCGGCGGTGAAGTCGCCCAAGCCACCCAAGTCGTCCAAGCCACCCAAGACGTCCAAGCCATTATCCGCTGTGCCGTCAGCAGAAGCAGCAGCATCGTCTTCTACGCCGTCCACCTCCTCTGCTGGGAAGGAGAAAAAATACTCCACGGGAAAGAAGTCGAAACGGCAAGCGGTCCCGGCGTCCCTGCTCAGTTTCGAGGACGAGGGAGAGGAAGGAGGGGGGGCCGAGTTCCAGGTGTGTATTTCCGGCATAAGGGCAACAGCAGTCGCATGTACTGTAGCGTGAAACTCGTGTATTTTGTCTACATGTATCCCGAGAATGATGGCGGCAAGTCATCTACACTTGCCACCCAACGTTGTGGTTTGCTCTCAAGTCTGTACGCCGTTTATTTGCCGTGAAGATCCCGTTGTTCTTCTCACTGATTACTTTCTTTTTTTTCTGCATTTCCCTCTTGTTGCTTTCATCTTTTAAGGTAAGAAGGGTTCAGCAGATCTTTCCCCAAGTTTGTCGTAACTCGCGACTTTGCAACGTGCACCTCTAGAATGCGATTTTTTCGTCAGATTCCAACCCACATTGAATTCTATTATAGGTTATTGCAATACATTCGTGCCCCAGTTACTGAGACCCGGCGTTGCGATTGATTCTGTTACGCGGCTCACTGCCATGCCTTTGCCCCAATCATATCCTACCTTTGCTCCGACTTGCTAGGGCCTAGGGGCGGCCACCCTCAACGAGTTCAAGCGGAGTCACAAAAAATCGCAGACGGAAAGCGTGGCGGCCGCAGCTGCTGCCGCCGCCGCCGCCACTGCTGCTGCTTCCACGGCTGATTCGACGGAGAAAGCCCCCTCCGTGACCGCGCGGCTCGGGTTTCCGTTGGAAAAGAAGAGGGACGCAGTGCTTGGGCCTTCGAAGATCAGCACGGCGGAGTCTCGGGGCGAGAGGGAGTACCAGGCAAGCCTAGGATACTGCTGGATGTAGTTGGGTGGAGGCTTGTCGGTCGTGGTTCGGTGTCGATACCTTGCGGTGTGAGCGGGTGGTAGAGGTAGACATGTGAAGCAAAGAGAACACGTTGAAAAAACGCAAAACCTTACCCGTGGCACAGGCGCGGACAAACTCGAAGCTGATATTACCGTGTCTCCGACTGTTCTTGCTCTCTACAGGAGGACAGGCACACGGTTGTGCAATGCTTGCACGCCCCGGATGACGCCCACACCAAGTTCGACGCGTGTCCCCCCTGTTTCTTTGCGGTCTTCGACGGCCACAACGGACATCTCGCGGCCGACATCGCCAGGAGCAAGGTATGTATCGACACAAAGTTATTCAGCCCTCTCCCCTTCCCGTTCAAAACTTTGGTTGAAGATGCTCGATTCGCCCCGCCGTCACGATTAGAAAGGGTTAGTACGCGGGTGTATCTGCAGGACTATGAAAGACTGAATCCATGCACGACAATAAGTACACCCCCACCCCATTCTGCTGCCTTCGCGTCACCTCCTCTAACGTTGGGATTGCCCTTCCTCCATCCGGGAAGCTCCACACGTACGTGGCCAAAGCTGCCCCTACCACGGGACTTCGTGGGGAGCCAACGGAACGCCTGGAGGGGCTCTTGCGCGCGGGGTTTGCCAGCACGGAGGCCGAGATCCTGAAGGAGACCGAGGAGACTAAGGACGATGGCGAGGATGACGGCACCGGTGACGGCGACGGCAACGGTAGCGGAAACGGCAACAGTAGGCAGGATGGAACGACGGCAACGGCGTGCTTGCTGGTAGGGAACTTTCTGGTGACGGCCAACGTCGGGGACAGCCGTGCGGTACTGGGAAGTGTGGGGTGAGAAGACAAGACGATGGACGGCGACCATGAGCTTGACAGTAGTACATCTGGGTGAAACTACCCGTTGCGTTGCGATCTTTTCGCTCGTCGTGTGGTCGTGCTTCGTTCACGTGTATGCCACTGGCCGTTTTCGGATCATGTTCTGACGGGAGTTTATTCCAGGTATTTATTCCGAAGGTCACACCGTTTTTTCCATATTGTGTGTTTAGTGTCAGCAATGACGCGGTGTATGTCTAACACAGGGTAATTAGTTGTACGTCCAACTCCTCTAAATGCACGTTTTCCGCTGTGTCGCGGTGTTGCTGTCTTTGTACGTGCTGTCCAGGCATGAGCATCCACTGTATCAGCGTTTGTATCATAGCGTCGTAGTTTCCTTGCTTGCACGACGCGACAGATGAATGACTCCTGATTTAGCAACGTCCTCCGCCTCGCCGTTCTTTGAAAGTCGCCCCCCCCCCCCCCCCCCCCCCCCCCCCCCCCCCCCCCCCCCCCCCCCCCCCCCCCCCCCCCCCCCCCCCCCCCCCCCCCCCCCCCCCCCCCCCCCCNNNCCCCCCCCCCCCCCCCCAGGTTGTTGTTTGCCATCGGGGTTGGGTTTTCGTCACTTGGCAACGACGTTGTAACACAATTCAATTCACTTCGTGAGCTCGGCAACCAGGTTACCGTTTTTTTTTACCTCTTTTTTTTTTGGCGGTAGCCATAATGGTGGTCAAGTGGATCATGTTGTGCGGGGTCGAGAACCCTCACTCCGCACAAAGGGGATGATCGCACCATGTTGTGTTAAAATGGTCCAGCATCCTCGAGACAGCTACACAGTGCTTACAACTGTCACTGGAAGTGAAAGCACCAGAAAATAAATTATGTCATACGCAGCTGTCATCCGTACCGAAGGAAGANTTGTGCGGGGTCGAGAACCCTCACTCCGCACAAAGGGGATGATCGCACCATGTTGTGTTAAAATGGTCCAGCATCCTCGAGACAGCTACACAGTGCTTACAACTGTCACTGGAAGTGAAAGCACCAGAAAATAAATTATGTCATACGCAGCTGTCATCCGTACCGAAGGAAGAAAGCACAAGATGCCGAACACCCTCGGCAGGATGCAGCGCACCCTTCATGCGACTCGCCGAATANCCCCCCCCCCCCCCCCATGGCAGGCATGAAGGAAAATTACGGTGCAAGAACATCTCGGTCGACCACAAGCCGGAAGACCCCCATGAAAAGCGGAGGATAAAGACTGCGGGAGGGGAAGTCGTCTTCAACGGCTGCTACAGAGTTCAGCACGAAAACGTGCGTCAACGTCGAACACCTGTAGTTTGGGGCTGGGAACGGGTGGCATCGGGCCAAACGTGCCGACCGGGTACACTCGCGTACGTACGAGGCTTCGTCTCTCCCTCATCGATCCTCCTTTTGTCCTGCTGGCTTTCGCTTACCCTTGACGCCTGTGCTGCCGCAAGTCCGGGACACTACTCCTTCTCCCGGAACACCGTTTAGCGTAAACGTGGTTGGTGAAGATGCAACTGCAACTGCTGGTATATCATCTTCAAGCGAGGTGTTTGCCACTATTAAGACGCGGCACGGATCACACTCGCTGTAACTCCGTGCTTGCGTTCGCTGTAGCTTTGTTGTCTGCGAACACCATGATCGCTCATCTCCTCGTGTCGACCGGTCTCGCTTTCACTGCGCTTGGTGCTGATTTTTTTTGCCTTTGCCCTCTGCTGATATCGTCTCACAACAGCACGATTCGACCTGTTGATCGTCACGCCGACTTTTCCGACTTTTGTCTCACCGAGTATCCGCCCATCACCGACCCCGTCGTCTGCTTGTTGTTCCGTTTTTTCCGTCGATCTAGGTAAGTTGTCGTTTGGCGGTATCGCGGTCCCTCGGAGATAGACAGTTCAAGGGGCAAGGAGGACAGCCGCCGGGCAGCCAAGTGCCGCCGCCGCCCGACATGCGCGGTCAGCTGGTGTCGCCCGAGCCATCCGTGAAGAGCGTGGAGCTTGAGCCGCACGACCGCGTGATCATCGTGGCGTCAGGCAAGGATTGTGGTCCAGATGTTACAATGATTCATAGCCATGACTCCGCCTCCTGATGTGAGACTAACCCTGTAGTGGGTACGTGTCATGTGGGAGGCGGATTTGGCGACCGTCCCAAGGTACATGTTCATCAGCACGGTGTACAAGAGCGCAAACAACGGAAGGAGTCCCGTCCAGCGATCAAGCTTGAGGCGTGCCCAAAGGCATCTAGCCACAGCTTTGTTTTGTCATTGCTGCTTCCTTCAGCGACAACGGGCTGACGAAATTGTGCGCTCCGTTCTCAGCATTATTGTTTTTGCGCCACCGAATAGGTTGATGCCGAGGAAAGCGTGTTTTTTCTTTTGACCTCGTGCCCCCTTCTACGTATCGCCTTGTAACGTCGCTGTTTGGCCGCCACTTTCTCTCCGACACCCCGATTCCGCAGATGGTCTCTGGGACGTGATGACCGGTCTAGAGGCTGTCGAGATCGCCATCGCGGCCCATGGGAAAGCTCCAACCACCACCGGAAGGGCGCCGAGCTGGGCGAACTCCTTGGTCCATGGGGTTGGGGGGGGTAACGCAGAGGCCGACCCAGCCAATGCGCTAGTGAGGGAGGCGGTGAAAAGGGGCACGTCCGACAACGTCACCGCGGTAGTGACGATCTTGTCGTGGGACTGAAGTGAGATTAGTGTTGACGCGGGCGCCTGGTGTAGTTGACGTGACGACAACGCTTGGTTGCCTCATTTATTGGCGTTGGTGTCCTGGGGTGGCTTGTGTGATCACGAGAAAATGAAGAGCGATTATTCAGGCGCCCTTTTTTGGTGTATTTTGGCATGATGATACCCATAACAAAGCTCGTGGCAGAGGTGTTGTCGATGGTGAGACGCTCGGCCGGTGGCTTGTTGCTAGTGAAACGATGTCGTTGGGTGTGTTCACTTGGATTTGAGGTGACTGACAAGCCGTGTTGTGCTTTGAGACCATCCTGGTGGCTGTCGCGCTTCCGTAAGACGATGGGTGACAACATTATAGAGTTTAGGCGGGGGTTGGTGACATTGTGACATAGTGACATGCACATCCACCGATACTGTGTGTGTCACCTAGCCTATTTGATTTACGTAGTACGGGCGTTGTTAAGACGTTCATGATTACGATCGACATCAGTTTTACGTTTACGATGGTAAATTCGTTTGGCATTGCTCTTGGAAGCAGTCGGCAGTTGGCCGCCGACGCGCTTGTTCGATAGACTAAACATCCCTCTGCCAGCTCCGTCCTGTAGTACTTCGAAGTAGTACCTTTGGCTCCTCTTCTTGGTTGATCTCCGCGGTACGTAGGCGGCTTTCTTCCCAAGCCAACCCACGCCATGGCTTACGAGGCGAAACCCAGGGATACACGCCGTGTCCATCGCGAACACTACAACAACTATGATTTCCTCCAAGCCCGAGCCAACACATGTCTTTGGTGTCTTACTGCAGCAGCACTAGTCCGCGCGTCTGCCGTCGAGTGAACAGGCAGAACATTGGCTGCACTGCACGAGACGGCCTTCTGTAGCGACAGCCACAGAGGTCAAATGCTGCGAGGCCTGGAATCTGTGTGGTTGTGTACGTTATCGGGCAAACGGCACGTTGAACACCTGAAATGCCTCTTGAGTGGTCACGGCCGGCCGAGGCTGGTACCCCCGATCCCCTGCAACTTACTGGTAACGCCCTCCATCGTTGAACTCCTGTCCGATTCCACGGAACCACCTGTTAGCAACCGCGGCGCCACCCACCGTTGGGCACAAGCAAAAGATGCAGTTGTGTGCATCTGTCCTTGCTGCCCCGAAACAGTGGACACCTCCGAGTTTTTCCGATCTCATGTTGGACTGCTGAGTAGGTGGAGGTGCACTGCTACGACGTGTCGCTCTTGACCTCCAAGCTGCCCGTGCATTCCATTCGTCGTCGAGAAGACAGATCTAAACACAGCAGCAGCAGCAGCAGCCACTGCACACACAGCAGTGTGACAGCCTTTGCATCGCGTGACAGGAGCTCTACAGCTTGTGGCGCCGACATGTCTCGTCATCGATTCACGGATGACCCCTCCATGGGGCGAAGGGCTCCACCATCATCGTCCGAGGCAGCACTCGACACCACGCAACTCTTGGAGCGGTTGGCGCGAAGCATCATCTCCGAGCGTTGCGGTCGACGTGACTCCGACGCAGCCGCCCCCCCCTCCGAAGCACAGATCCACGGTGCCGTCAGGCTGTGCATCCGCATTCTGACGAGTCACATCGGGGAGCCGTTGATGGTGGAAGACGAGGCTTCCGTTGCGCAAGTCATCCGGACTAGACTCGTCAAGGTGAGCACATCTTACGCTTGTCGTCTGACTTCAATTTTTGAATTTTCGACATCCCATTTCAAAAGAGTGCGTTTTTCTTCATTTATGACTCGATAACCTTGCGGACCAAATGACATTACGGCGCAGCCGAATCCACAGACACTGCTATTGCATGCTCTGCTGCAGATGAACGTGACTCCTGCAGTAGCACATAACATTATGAGGGGCTTATCCCCTGTTTTTTGTGTCGTTTACCCGGCAGAGGCTTCCAGGAGAAGGAAGTTGTGTTTTGTGGAAGAAAAAAAAAGTATTCTCGCCGACCCACATCACTGCCGTTTGCTAGACTTGACCACAGATCATAGACTCCACTACCGTCTTTCAAGACATTACCACGTCGCTGCTGAGATTTATCTCCGACTGTTCACAAGATTTGTCCCTCTGTAATGTTCATCTATGTCGAATACACATGGTGTGACGCAAATTATTTACCTGCTGTGTGTATCTGGAAGGGGGCAGCGAGAGAGGGAGAGCCAGCGAGCGAGAGCGCGAGATAGAGAAACGATTACACCTCTCCACTGTTGTACAGGCTTCACTCTCCAATTTGTGGGACGATGAACGCCCCGTACCGGTTTCATATCGTGGGGATTGCTGCGGGGTAGGGGTGCTTGAATGGGCAGCATGGTGTGTATGGGTGACCGTGGGTGGTAAACACAACGTTTGTCGTGCGACATGCGCTACCACCGCCGTCGTAGCAAGTCTCGGTCCTACTCAAGCGAGAGAGGCCCCTGAACCTCAACTCGTTTGCTCACAGCTCTATGCCGGTCTGGCAACAAATCCATGTGCAACTATTGCGTAAAGAGAGGCCCACTTCCCGACAGATTTCGCCACATACGGTTGTGTGCCATCGCTAGGAAGGAACCTGAAAGGTTTGTCCGACTGCTGTGACTGCTGGGGGCTTCAGTCTGGACTTGTGCTGTGCGTGGCAGCGAATTACCGCCCTTCCACTCGCCGAGCGCCGAGGAACCACAACGACCACGAACAGAGTACAACGACGAGCCATCTTATTTCTGTCCTTGCTGTGTACACATGACGGCAGACGCCGAGCTCTAGCGGCAGCGGCGTGGAGGCCGCCCTTCGCTTCGACGATCTGCACCGCCGCCTCAAGCTCCTAGCCGGCCTGAAGAATCGCGCACCCATGCTGCACCTCCTTCACGCGCTCAGCGATACGGGCACGGCAGCGGCGGCGGCGGCGGTGAACCACCACGGTGCCGCCCCCCCGGCGATTCCCCAGATGCCTCCCCGGGTATTCTCAGAGCCGGCGGCGGGACTGTCAGGTATCGGCCATGTCGTCGGGCAGGGGCTGCGTGCCGCCGCTGCAGCGTCGGTTGGGGGGAGCAGTTACCACGGAGGAGGGGTTTCCAATGGGCGTGAACCTCTAGGGGAGGGGCGGCGGCATGCCGAGTCGATGGGCGTGCGGGCGGGTAGGCATAGGTCTGTGGTCAGCAGAGCCATGCCGCGGCGAACGACCGAGGTGACGGAGAGGACGTTGCTGAAAGGCATCCTGTACGCGTTTCAGGTGCGGAGGTTGTTGCCGGGTCCTCGTTCGTGGGGTAAGAGGGTGAGAAGGGAGTAGTAGGCGCAACCAAAGTCGAGACTTCAGGCGGTGGTGAAATGGCGGTTGTATGTACCGTAGTTGACATTACGTAAGATATAGCACCCCCTCGACTATGTTTCGAAGCTCGACTACGCCACGACGAAGAGGGCGTACAAAGCAAACGATACAATTTCGGAAAGCTGTCTACGAGGCGGTTCCAACGCCGCAAGTTTCGGCACCGCCACCCTTTCTGCCTTGAGAGTATTCGACCTTCACCTTTGAATATCAATCCAAGGGGGTGTGATATCTTATGCAACCTGCGGTCAGCCGGTGATATGTGGAGCATGTGGTTGACTGATGGGCCATCGCCTTGTGGGAGTACTGTTTGTGCTTTGTGGAAGACAGCAGGAAGGGTGCAGTCGCATTCGTCCGTTTGACGCCGACATGTTTTTGACTTGACCGTCCCGACTGAGGCGAGCACTCTTGTTAGCTATTAAACGTCTGGCACTGTGGGAAGGTGGTGTAGATCGATGTACCGATTTCTGTGTCTTGCACTAGAAGTGGCAAGGTTGTTTGATGCTCCCATCGCCAGATGTTCAGCTCTAGAAATGTGCATGTCGCTTTTCGTCTCGAACACCTACCCTTGGATTCGCCCCCGCATACTACGGTGGTAGTAAAGTTGATCGACTTCATAAGTCGCGAGGGAACGGATTGCTGTACCCTTCTCGCGATAAAAATATCTCAGGCAAGAACCGCAGGAGGGGGTCCAACCCCCCCCTCCTGTGTGACCCCGGTTGGGTCGTCTAGCAGGTAGAAGTGGAGGATAGGGGCCAGAGGGGCAGACGACAGAGTCCAATGATGGGAGAAAAACAAGAACAACAACTACCCTTGGATCCGCCCCCGCAGGGCATCGACAGTCAATACATCAAGTACTGCGAAGAGGAGTCTGGCTACGTGCTCGACCCGCGGCTGCGACTAGGGTTGAAGCAAAGGGCGATGGTAACGGAGATGTTGGAGATGGGCTGGCTGTTCACGACGGTGGTGCGATATAACCAGAGCGTCGATGGTGAGGAGGACATGGGGGTGTTACCACTTACCTTGCTCCGCTGCCATTGTCCACCCCGGCAGCCAACAGAAATAGAAGTGCAAGGTTTGTTCATAACATTTGAATTTCGTGCTGTGATGGAAATGTGTTGAAGATTCGTTGTCAGTTTTCTAGCAATTCTAGTTAATAGCGAGGCAACCAATGCTACTGGCAACAGACAACGGCACGAACTTCGTTGCCAGTTGTTGTAGCCCATTTCGTGAGTCATGTATGGCGAAACATGGTAGTACCCAGCAGTAGTGAGCGGTCGTGTGTCTGCTGTACATCGCGTCGCGTCCTGTGCACCCTTGCAGATGCATTGGCACGGACACCCTCCACGATGGACAGAAGCGGGCATCGTTTTTCGTCTTCTTCACGCCACCATCGCCTACGATGGGTAGTTGCTCGGACACAATAGTTCAGAACTGAAACAACTTGCACATTCTCAGCAGCATACCCATAGATACCTGATTCTTTCGACGAAGTAGAAACCGCACTTCGTCCCTATTCTTGCATCACTATCCTTTGGATCTACCACCCTGGTGTCGCTGACATATCCTCTGCGGCCCAACCTTACTGTACTACGCCACGGTCTGGCCCAGCCGGCTCAGCGGACGTCGGTCCTGGTCGTATCCAGCAGGCTTTCGTCTTCTCGCTAAAGGAAGATTTGACGGAGTACTACCGACTCATCGCCGTGCTGGGGGCACAGCTGAATCTTGAGTCGGAGGGGCTGGGGGTCGGGGCTGGTGGGACGGAGGGCTTGACGCTGCAACGCCTGTTCGTGTGGGTGAAGGATCCGATGAAGCGGCTCAACGTCATGGCAACCCTTGTGGCGGCGGCAGCTCAGCTTAAGGTGGAAATGCTTTGTGAATACCCAGGCGTGCCCGCCTAGGTATGACCGCTGGAACGCAGCGTTCGAACGCCATGGTTGGAGAGGCTTCGAGAGCGAAGGCGATCTCAGTATAGCTGCGCTTGACCGTAGCAATTTCGCACGATGGAATGGCCATATCCCACATCTTTGAAGCCTGCCATTATACCAGTAGTAGCGACAATTCATCCCTGTAACCAGCATTACGGTGCAGTGTTGTTTGGAACGGAGTCGTTGGCATGGTCTATGGACTCCCTAAATATGGGATGTCAGCACGCCTCTCTCTCTCTCTTTCTTACACACACACACTCTCACTCTCTCTCTCTCAGCACGAGAGCTACGTTGGACCTCTCGTATGCACCTCTGATGCAAACCCGCCGCCTCCTCGGCGTCGACCCCCGATACACCAGACACCAACGATCAACCCGCACACCCTCTGCTATTGTACATGCCAACACCCCACTATCACTACCCGGCACGCACGCAACCCGCCGCCTCCGCTCTTGTGCCCTACAACAGGGGGGAGCCTTGGCCTCGTGCCTGCACACACACGTAGACCACGGCGATCCGTTCGTTCGAGGGCTGGTGCAGCGAACGTTGGTCCGCGCCTGCGAGTCTCTGTTCTTGATGGTGAAGCTGTGGATGTTCGAGGGGGAGCTGGTGGACCACCACAAGTGAGTCACGGGAAGGCCGCGGTTGTGTCTGTGCCTTGTGGTGTCTTTGTTGTTAGCATCGCCCGCGTTATCGGCCTCACGAGGGAAAATATGTGATCCTCAGGTCAGCCTCAGAGCGAACACAACCGCAACACGCTTCTGAAGGCCATGCAATGCAATGATCTGAGACACCATGAGGAGAAGTCACGAGGGAGACTGAGCTATTCTCGGAATTACAACGTGTGTTCATGTGTAGCCTATTTTTGTTGCTCTGCTTGAGAATAGCACGTGATAAAGAGTGTATTCCGTAAGGCAGGTGGACGCGCGTGTGTACGTTCGATCGCATCAAGCCCGCCTGCGAGCAACGCATGAGTCCCTAGTTCAGTCAAGGCACGAGCATCCGATCGCCGTAAGACGCAACAGGGTCACCGCTATGCAGCACACTCCGGTGGCGTGTCAGGCCAAAAAATAGGTCGAGGAGGTTTTACACAGATGTTTTACCCGTAGCCCAGGGCCTGTCGCGGTCTGCCATGCACAAAATTCATGGGGCTAGATATGGAGGCAAAGCTTCAAGATCGTTCGTGGCCTGTTGGTTATTGCTATTTGCGTATGTACCTGGTACAGTGCGTGTCTCTGTTCACGACCGCGGCAGCGCCTGTCGGGTCTGTCCGTACGCCGTCCGTGGCGAGCCCCTGCCATGCCGCTTCCCTCTGGCTCTTCAAGCACTTGCCCAACCAGCACACTTTCATGGAACGCTCGCCACATGCACATCATCTAGCACGAGCCAGACACTGTACTGCTGCCACGAACGCTCCCGCTGGGGTGTACGCCACCCGTCTTGCCCGCACGTTGACCTCGATATGCGTTGCCTTACGAACGTGTGTTGCTCACTCCCCTGCCTTGGGCGCCCCGCCCGCGTCTTTTTTGGCCTTGATATAACCCGATATGGTGATGCTGCGTCCACAACCACAGCGAATTTTTCGTTCAAGAGAGGAAGCTCGCGACGGTTTTGAAGGAGACTTTGTGGCACGACCGTTACCACCTGGACCTGTGCCTGCTGCCCAAGTTCATCGACCAGGAGGTGGCCGTGAAGATTCTCACTATCGGAAAGGCCATCAACTTCTTGAGGCGCCTGTGCGGGGACTCGGAGTGGATCATGGGGCCCATGGCGAAGGCGAGTTGGCTGGCGCTGCCGGAGATGCTTTCGTGTGGGTGTCTCTTGTCTGTTGATGGAGTCTGTCTCGAGGCTACGGGGGTGGCTGTTCGCAAGGGATGATGGCTGCCGGTGGAGGCTATGGTGGGCATGCACATGCACATGCACATGCACTGCATTTTGCTCCGGTTCTTGTACGATCTTGGTCGGGCCGGTTCATTGAGCGAGTGGACGACCGCTTTGAACAAGTTTTGGTTGATGCTCCGGTCTGATTTGATGCTGTTTGGACGCATCTATGGACGATGTCACTTTGCTGCGCCTGTGTACAATCCGAGTGGTTTTCCGCTCAATTGCTTGCCTGTGCGACCCCCAATTGCATCTCCATAAGTGAAAAAGTATCATGGGTACCTCGGCATTGCCTGCTAGGAGTTCATCTGGTCTGTTTACCGCAAAGGTTTGGCTTGTTATTCAAGAGTACACGTCAAGAGAGAAACTGCGAGTCTAGTCCAGTTGAATCAAGGGTTATGTGAGTCCAACGCAAGGAGATATGGCGATAGTTTTTGAACATTATCCTCTCCGCCCGGCGTTCAGCAACTTCTAGAGCATGTGCATCAGCCCACTCAAATCTCTCACATGTCTAACCGAGAGCCCAACAAATCTCCGAAATCTCCGAAATCTCCGAACGCAGGCAGCGGCCCAGGCCACAACGCTGGAATACGGGAACACGACATCCCTCAGGGCTGTGGTGGAGTCTTGCTCCGCCTTGACCAACGCCAGGCTCGTGCACCTCATGCTCGGGCCCTACCGGCTAAAGTCGCACCTTCGAGTCCTCAAGAAGTTTCTTCTCCACGGACAGGTGAGATTCACTGACCAAGGTGCGGTAGCGGACACATGCCACCTCAACACACCTCTTCGGGTGTGTGTGATCTTTTTGTTATGGCTAGAAGGATGGATGGAGCGGTCCCTTTCCCGCGTCGACGGTAAAGTCGACTGTTGAGGTCCCGCGAAGTAGGCGTATTCCGTTCGTGGCTGCATGCTTTTTAGAACAGATCCCAGGCCTAGTGGCGCCGCCGAGATTCGAACCCACGTCTTCTACGGTTACGATGCTGCCCCCTTTTACCTTTTTCCTGGTGCTGTACAACGATGACCCTGTCTATCACGCTGATGCTGACTATTGTACTATTTCGGTATTTGTGACGTCTGCTGATTGTTGATGCTGCCTGCAAAGCGGTGCTGGATGATAGTGGCTACCTTGACCCCACCTTCACATGCTTCAGTCTAGCCTGTCTTCGGCAACAACGCAATCGCCTTGGTCATGTCAGGGAGATCTCATGCTCACCCTCATTGAAGTGCTCGGTCCGGAGCTTGACAAGAAGGCCACGGTCATCTACCGGCACAACGTGATGGGGATAGTCGAGGGCGTGATCAAGACCAGCGCCATCCTGCAGGACGAAGCGGACGACGTTGCCAGGATCGGAGTCAAGATTTTCGGCGGTTCGGAGGCTGATACGTGAGAGATCGCCCGGGGCCGCAGCGTGATGATTATTTTGCTGCTAGCGACAGAAAATTCTTGCCATGCTACATGTTCCCCTCCGGAGTAGCTTCTTGGTGCTACAGACTGCAGCACTGGACACCGGGGGTGATGTACAGAAAAGAGATAACTAATCGCTGTTAATTGCTGCTTGTCCGTGGGTTGTCTTCGACGGGAGGCGATCTTCGAGTAGATTCGATGTGCGTCAACTGTACCCCGGTATCTTGGGATCGCGACGGCTGCATCTCCCTACTATTATCGAAGTATTACTAGTACTTGACCAACGCCACGTCCTCCTTATTAGCCAACCGGCAGCGATCCTGATGACGCACCCACATGAGATAGTACAGATAGTAGGCACCATAAACAGTAACACCACACCCGGTGGAAGAAGTTTGTTTCCGCGACAACATGAGCCCAGATTAACTCTCAGGTCAAGTATTAGCGTGACACAAATACCACACAGCCCATAACACGGATCTCTTGGCGTTGATAACCACCTTGTCATGGCTGCTTCGCACTACCCCTGTCTTCGACCGTCCTTAACCGTGTGTTACGACTTCCTTCGTGTGGCAATGCCCCCCCCCCCCCCCCCCC